CTCACAGGGTGTCTGTTGTGGGGAGGGGAAGGGAAAGGAGTTTGTAAGCCGCTCTGAGACTCCTTTGGGTAGTGAAGGGCGGGGTATAAATCCAATCTTTTCTTCTTCTTTTACCTCACAGGGTGTCTGTTGTGGGGAGGGGAAGGGAAAGGAGTTTGTAAGCCGCTCTGAGACTCCTTTGGGTAGTGAAGGGCGGGGTATAAATCCAATCTTTTCTTCTTCTTTTAGAGACTCCTTTGGGTAGTGAAGGGCAGGCTATAAATCCAATCTCTTCTTCTCTCAAGGGTAGTTCCTGACAGAGCTCTCTCAGCCCCACTTGCCCCACAGGGTGTCTGCTGTGGGGAAGGGAAGGGAGATTGTAAACTGCTCTGAGACTCCAAATGAAGGGTGGGGTATAAATCCAATCTCCTATTCTTCTCCTTAAAGACCTACAAGATTTCCAGAGTGTAACCTTCCAAGAGTAAATGTGCCCTTCGTCCAACAGGGACCTCCATTCCTACTTGTATTTGACAAAGAGAGCTTTGGCTCTGGGAAGCTTGGGCCCCGGTTATCTTGTCAATCATTAAGGTGCTACCTGTCTCGAATCTTGGTCTTCGGTTTTTCAGTGGCTTTTGGTTCGCAATCCGGAAATCACTGTCTCAGCCCTTTCCGACAGCTAAAACACTCTCTCTCTCTCTCTCTCTCTCTCTCTCTCTCTCTCTCTCTCTCTCTCTCTCTCTCTCTCTCCCCCCTCTCTCTCTGTGGATACGTTATGTCTCTCTCTCTCTCTCTCTCTCTCTCTCTCTCTCTCTCTCTCTCTCTGCAGATGTCAGCGGTGGGTCGAAAACTGCCGCAGGGCCGATCTGGAAGATAAGACTCCAGACCAACTGAACAAGCATTACCGGCTGTGTGCGAAGCACTTCGAAACGTCGATGATATGCAGGAGCGTAAGTGAAAAGAGGGAGGGGAGTTTCTTCAACATCGGTGTCTCATCAAACTCACGACTTGATTTACGGCCTGTAGCTAATTGGCCGACCCTCTCCACAATAGCTGAGAAATTTAAGATCTCGAATTCCGGCTTCTTCCTCACATGCCAAGCCTGTGCATTTCGAAGCGCGGAAACCCCTCCGGGTTACTTAAATGTGAAAACATGCAGGGCTGATTGGTGTTCTGGGGATTCCCGCGGCATGTAGCCCCGTTGAGGGTACCACATTTCAATAAAAGAAAGTCATCTGAAACTCTTCTAGGGGGAAATTGCACTCTCCAAAAGAGGACAGCGTCCACGACCCCCGGAACGTTTTTAAAATAACAGTCTCTCTTAAACGGCCCAGTGAATTAATGACTCCAGAAGCAGTGGGCTTTGCATCCACTACATCTGTCAAGAGCCCAAGGATATTTTAATGCGTGGGGCTGTCCTGCGTGGCCCCTTGAGAAATCGCTTGTGGAAGAGTTGCAGATGCATTAATGGAACTTTTTCCGCAAGCAGGTTTTTCCCTCCCGGCAGTTAAAATGCTAAATTCCATGTTTGTAGCACCGGTGGTGGGGTGGGGGTGGAAGGTATAAACAAATTACACCAATTTTCAGGGCTAATCAGGGGTGTCAAACTCACTGGAAATGTGTTATTTAAAGTTTAAAAAAATCTTTGTGTTTGTCTGTGTCCTTTATAAAGTTTATATTTCTGCTACCTTTTATGACACACATGGCCCGGCCCAACAAGGTCGCATTTATGTCAGACCCGGCCCTCATAACAAATGAGTTCGACACCCCTGGATTAAGTAACCAAAAAATGTTGAGTGAGCAAGCCCGAAAAATATGTGATAAATACTCCAGATCGGCTCTTCGGCAGTTTTAGATCCACAGCCAGTGGTGTGGTGGTTAGGAGCACAGATTCTAATTTGGGGAGCCGGGTTTGATTCCCCACTCCTCCACATGCAGCCGCTGGCGTGACCTTGGGTCAGTGACAAGTTCTCTCAGAGCTGTTCTCTCAAGGGCAGTCCTCGAAAGAGCTCTCCCAGCCCCACCTACCTCACAGGGTGTCTGTTGTGGGGAGGGGAAGGAAAGGAGATTGTAAGCAGCTCTGAGACTCCTTCGGGTAGTGAAGGGTGGGGCATAAATCCAATCTCCTCCTCCTCTTCCTCCTCCACCTTAAAGTCTTACAAAATTTGTGGCAGGGGATGAGCTTTTGTGAGTCACTGCTCGCTTATTCAGGTACCTGAAGAGGACTCCCACCCCGCCACAACTTTTGTTAGTCTTTACGGTGCTACCAGGCTCTTTCTCTTTTCTGCCGCTACCGCCTATTAGTATAAGGAGTATTTATCAGGAACCACCAACTTGTGTTAATCCGGAGCACCAAATGCGTTCCAGCTTTTGCCTTGTTCAGTGGTGCAGGTGTTCCACCCGTTACAAGTCCCGGTTTATCACAAGCTAAAAATCCCGATTAAATGCAGATGACATCACGCGCGTACCTCTGCCAGCGTCTCCTATTTCATGGGAGTCTTCTCATGAAAAACAAATGTTGCAAGCTCGCAGTCAGGCTGGAAATATAAAAGGCTTCTCGGAGTCTGCATCTACATACGAGATATTGGGCGTAAAGCCAAGTTTTAATCCGCAGGCCGGTATTTTGTATGAGAAATCAACAACGGCCTCGTTAGACTACAAGATATTTCTCCCTGTGTATCTTTTGTGTGAGAAATCAACAACGGCCTCGTTAGACTACAGGATATTTCTCCATGTGTATCTTTTACATCTCCTGCCAACCTAGCAGTTCGAAAGCAAGAAATTGCAAGTAGAGAAATAGGTACCACTTCGGTGGGAAGGTAACAGCGTTCCGCGCGCCTTGGTGTTTAGTCATGCCGGCCACATGGCCACGGAAATGTCTTCGGACAGCGCTGGCTCTTCGGCTTTGAAATGGAGATGAGCACCGCAACCCTAGAGTCGGATTCGACTGGCTTTTGAGCAAGGGAACCTTTATCTTTACCTTTTTATCTTTTACATAAGTTTTACAGCACTTAAGAAAAGCAGACTTAAACACAAGCGTTCTCGGGTGAGGGTGCTCGGTATCGAAGGACTGTCTACCTTCCATATGTCCCTGTGCACCAGCTACAGTTGTCATCTGTTGGCTGTGCCACCATTCAAGGAGGCCTGTCTGGCATTCCGTGGCTCTTGCTCTGTGGGACGGGCTTCCTGCAGAGGTGAGTCCCCCCGGAGGACTTTGGGAGGTACTGCAAGGCCTGTCTATTTACCAGGGCATTTGAGGGGGGTTGAATGGCAGACATCTCTTAAGGGGAGAGGGATATTTGGGGTTTGCGGTTTTGGATTAACAGCATATTTTTAAGTGTTTTCGTAAGCGGCCTTGAACCATGAGGAAAGGCGGGGTATAAATGTTTCAGTAAGCCAATATTTGCCAATGGTTGCTCTGGAATGTGAGAGCATCTCTATCTATCTATCTATCTATCTATCTATCTATCTATCATCTATCTATCATCTATCTATCATTATCTATCATCTATCTATCCATCTATCTTCCATCTATCTATCCATCTATCTATCCATCTATCTATCCATCTATCTATCCATCTATCTATCCATCTATCCATCCATCTATCCATCCATCCATCCATCCTCTATCCATCCATCATCTATCCATCTATCATCTATCTATCATCTATCTATCTATCTATCAGAAGAAGAAGAAGAGATTGGATTTATACCCCTCCCTTCACTATCCTAAGGTGTGTCAGAGCGGCTTACAAACTCCTTTCCCTTCCCCTCCCCACAACAGACACCCTGTGAGGCAGGTGGGGCTGAGAGAGCTCTTGACAGAAACAGCTCTTTTTCAAGGACAGCTCTTACCAGAACTACGGCTTGCCCAAGGTCATCCAGCCAGGTGCAAGTGGAGGAGTGGGGAATCAAACCCGCCTCTCCAAGATTAGAGTCCACGCACTTAACCACTAAACCAAGGTCAGTATAGTCTACCCAGACTGGCAGCAGCTCTCCAGGGTCTCCGGCGGAGGTCTTTCACATATAGGGCCGCGGTGGCTCAGAGGTTAAATCGCTGAAGCTGCAGACCTGAAGGTCTGTAGCTCGGCAGTTCGAGACTTCAAGCGATAACATTAAAAGAAACTTAACAGAATACATAAAATTAGTTACAAGAATATATAACATTATAGAAGTCAATAAAATAAGCATAAATTACTATGTTTACATAGTACTGAACCTCACAAGATTGAGCAGGGAGCTCTAGTAATAAGACCAAATACAAGTGCCCATATAATAGTCATATGGTGAAGGAATGGTGATTAGAATTAAAAAGCTTAAACGTACTCTGTTAATAATCATAGATCTTCCTTAAAAACCTAAGTTAGACAAGGATTAAAAGTGAAGCCAAGAGTGATATGAGGTCTTTGAAGGAAGAAGAAGAAAAGAGATTGGATTTATATCCCGCCTTTCACTACCCAAAGGTGTCTCAGAGTGGCTCACAAACTCCTTTCCCTTCCCCTCCCCACAACAGACACCCTGCGAGGTAGGTGGGGCTGAGAGAGCTCTGGCAGAAACGGCTCTTTTTCAAGAACAGCTCTTATCAGAACTATAGCTTGCCCAAGGTCATCCAGCAGCTGCAAGTGGAGGAGCGGGGACTCAAACCCGGTTCTCCCAGATTAGAGTCCGCGCACTGAACCACTACACCAAACTGGTGTCCTTATCTGACATATTGAAGAACACGCGACCACGTGGCGATAAAACGTGAAGCAGACAGTTGTGTGATGCTTGTAAGTTTAGCTAAAATAAATTGGTCCCAAATCTTCTCGTGCCAGGGATGAAGAGTTGGAGGTGAGCTCCCATCTCTGGCCCCGGCTCCTGCCAACCTAGCAGTTCGAAATCAAGAAACTGCAAGCAGATAAATAGGCACCGCATCCGTGGGAAGGTAACACCGTTCCGAGCACCTCGGCGTCTAGTCATGCTGGCCACATGAGCACAAAGAAGTCTTCGGACAGCGCTGGCTCTTTGGCTTGGAAATGATGAGCACGACCCCCTAGAGTCAGATTCGACTGGCTTTCGAGCAAGGGAAGCCTTTACCTTTACCGCCTGGACCCTTTGAACTGGAGATGCCGGGGTTCGAACCTGGGACTTTCTGCATTCAAAGCAGAGGGTCTCCAACTGAGCCCCGGCCCCTCCTCCTCGAGAGGTGATAGTTTCCCTCTAGAAGGGACCTGCAAACCGAGGCCTGTCTTTTCTTTCGCAGAGTCCCTACAGGACGGTCTTACGAGACAACGCCGTGCCCACCATATTCGACCTGACGAGCCATCTGAACAATCCGCACAGCAGGCACCGAAAGCGAATCAAAGAGCTGGTGAGTCAGGTCCTTCCAATCGCGGTTGCACGAAGCAAGATCAAAAATGCAGTCATTTGTGTTTCTTTTCACCCCATAGTACTCTACAGGGTCAGACACGGTAGAAGTCATCTGGTGGGAGGGGTCTTTTTGTTGTAAAGACCCATTTGGACAATCTTTAAACATACGGAGAAACATATGGAGCGGAGGTGGCTCTTAGCCACAAGGCGTAGATGGAAGACTGTCTTGGGCAGTAACGCTCTATATTCTTGGTGCTTGGGGAGGGGGGGCAAGAGTGGGAGGGCTTCTGGAGTTCTGGACCCGCTGTGGACAGGAGGGTGCCCCCTGGGTTGTGGCCACTGTGTGACATGGAGTGTTGGGCTGGATGGGCCACTGGCCTGACCCAACATGGATTCTCCCTTATGTCCTTATGTCTGGAACAGTGATGCTCTGTCTTCTTGGTGCTTGGGGGGGGCAACAGTGGGAGGGTTTCTGGAGTTCTGGCCCCGCTGGTGGTGGACCTCCTGATGGCCCCTGGGTTTTGGCCACCGTGTTGGACTGGATGGGCCATTGGCCTGATCCAATGTGGTTTCACTTGTGTTCTTACGTTTGGACAAATTTTCCCCTTCCGCAAGCAAATGGTTTTTCCTCACCATTAAGAGCTGCTTCCCAAGTGTTTACAGCTACCTGCAGCTGGATGTTCCTTCTAGAATACACAACAATCACCCGACATCAGAATGTTACAGCCTCAGCCAAAATCACAATTTCTGAATGGCAAATTATGTGGAGTCAGAGCGTGAAATTGATTTCTGTTCAAAGATGGAGGCGATAGCTTGGCCAGTCCTGGACCAGAAGTGTACCAGGTTAACAAAGTCTCCACGGGGGATGTTGTTAACTGCAAAGTTGTGTTCAATTAACAGCACAGGCCGAGGTCTTAAAGAACTGGCGAAGGATAACTGCTTTGAGCCACCACAAAGGGTGGGAAAGGCAGGGTAAAAATATGTCAGTAAACGTAAGAAGCGACACATTGGTTTTATTTGTAGTCTAAGCGGTTATGCAATTCAAAGTAGTGCAGTAGGAACAATGTGATGTAAGACAGCCAACAACAGCATCTAGGTGCTGTACAGAACTAGAGAATCTGCAAGGATTAGAATTGAATCGAGAGATGTCATCCATAAGGGGGGGGGAGGAGGAGGAGGAGGAGATTGGATTTATCCTCCACCCTTCACTCGGCGTCTCAGAGCGGCGTACAAACTCCTTCTCTGAGAGAACTTGTGACTGACCCAAGGTCACACCAGCAGCTGCAAGTGGAGGAGTGGGGAATCAAACCCGGTTCTCCCAGATTAGAGTCCGCACACTTAACCACGACACCAAACTGGCTTTCAGTTAAAATTGCTCTACCAAACAGAGTGCAGTTCGGTGGAGCGGCAGTACAGATCATCTGTCGTCCCAGAGCCTCTCTCCTTGGACTTTTGTGAATCCCAACGTCAGCATGGGTGCACTAAATTTGCCGCTTTTACGGGATATGAAGTTGCACGTTCCTTTTAATCTGCCATTCTTATGTAGAACAGATTGTCAGTGCATCTCTAGAAATGTATATATGTATTTCTTCTCGGAACTGCAGCAAGGACATGAAAGAAGGCATTCGAAGCCGCTGCCGGGTGTGCACCTGTGATCACAAAGGATCCTCAGCAGGGGGTCCACGAATCTTGGCTTGGCCGGGCACTGCTTGTGGTTGCTACCGATCCCGTTCCTTTTCAGAGGCATCAGGCGCGGATGCCACAAACTCCGGGAGGGAGAGGGCAACCTTTCACTTTGCAGTGAATCGTGAAGAGGGAAGACTCAGAGCAGATATTCCTTGCCGCTTCTGGTGTCCCGAGCTGAGTCAAATCTGGTGCTCCCCGGTTGTCTGAATGCCTGCCGAGGTGGGTTGGGTTGGGCTTGGTTTCTCCAGCCTGGCCCAGTGGAAAATTCCTTCACGAACTCATGAAGCTGCCTTCTACTGAATCAGACCTTTGGTCCATCAGGTTCAGTATCGTCTACTCAGACCGGCAGCAGCTCTCCGGGGTCTCAGGCTGAGGTCTTTCACACCGTCTAGTTCCTGACACTTAACTGGAGATGCCGGGGATTGAAACTGGGACCTTCTGCATGCCAAGCAGGTGCTCTTATCACTGAGCCACGGCCCCTCTCCAGGGTCTCAGGCAGAGATCTTTCACATCACTTCCTACTTGAGCCTTTTTAAGTAGCAATGCCGGGGATTGAACCTCAGGTCTTCTGCATGCAAAGGGCAGATGGGCTCACACTCGAGCTGTATCTGAAGAAGTGAGCAGTGACCCATGGAAGTTCATCCCCTGCCACAAATCTTGCTGGTCGTTAAGGTCTTGCTGGACTCTTGCTCTTTTCTACTGCTTTTTTGTTGTTCAGTCGCACAGCCGAGTCCGACTCTCCGTGACCCCATGGACCAGCTCCCGCCAGGCCCTCCTGTCTTCCGCCGTCCTCTGAAGTTGGCTCAATTTCATGTTCGTTGTATCCATGACACTGTCTAACCATCTCATCCTTTGCCGTCCCCGTCTTCTTTGACCTTCAATCTTTCCCAGCATCAGGGTCTTCTCCAGTGAGTGCTCCCTTCTCATTTGGTGGCCAAAGTATTTGAGCTTCATTTTCATTATCTGGCCTTCCAGGGAACAGTCAGGGTTGATTTCTTTTAGGATTGACTGATTTGTTCTTCTTGCAGTCCAAGGGACTCTCAAGAGTCTTCTCCAGCACCATAGTTCAAAAGAATCTATTCTTCGGCGCTCGGCCTTCCTTATAGTCCAGCTCTCGCAGCCATACATGACTACTGGGAATACCATTGCTTTGACCATGCGGACTTTTGTTGGCAGGGTGATGTCTCTACTTTTTATCATGCTGTTTAGGTTCGCCATCGCCATTCTACTGCTACGGACAGACTAATATCTGGATTCATTTCCATGGAAGGCACCACGTTTAGCCCTACAGAACGGGAATCCATCAGCCTTGTGATAGAAGGACTGTGCTGCCCCAGCCAGCGTTAACTGCCGTTTAGTAAAGCTGCTGTGTATCTTTAAGAGTAGTTGCACCTGGGAATTGTAGTTCTCAGTTAGGGGTCCCAGAAGCTTCCCTCTGACTGGCTCATTAAGAGTAATTTCCTGAGCTCAGAGGTTGGTGGCCAAAGTATTTGAGCTTCATTTTCATTATCTGGCCTTCCAGGGAACAGTCAGGGTTGATTTCTTTTAGGATTGACTGATTTGATCTTTTTGCAGTCCAAGGGACTCTCAAGAGTCTTCTCCAGCACCATAGTTCAAAAGAATCTATTCTTCGGCGCTCGGCCTTCCTTATAGTCCAACTCTCGCAGCCATACATGACTACTGGGAATACCATTGCTTCCTTACATTACTGGGAATACCATTGCTTCCTTATAGTCCAACTCTCGCAGCCATACATGACTACTGGGAATACCATTGCTTTGACCATGCGGACTTTTGTTGGCAGGGTGATGTCTCTACTTTTTATCATGCTGTTTAGGTTCGCCATCGCCATTCTACTGCTACGGACAGACTAATATCTGGATTCATTTCCATGGAAGGCACCACGTTTAGCCCTACAGAACGGGAATCCATCAGCCTTGTGATAGAAGGACTGTGCTGCCCCAGCCAGCGTTAACTGCCGTTTAGTAAAGCTGCTGTGTATCTTTAAGAGTAGTTGCACCTGGGAATTGTAGTTCTCAGTTAGGGGTCCCAGAAGCTTCCCTCTGACTGGCTCATTAAGAGTAATTTCCTGAGCTCAGAGGTGCAAAGATAGAAGCTTTATTGTTCTCTTCCGTTTCTTTGTCCATCAACACTTACCGCAAGGAGAGGGGAAGCCCATCTCTTTCTCACTGCGGCCATAGGATTGACCTAGATCAGAAAGATGTAACGTCTTGATCCAGCTATCAGCTCAATTGTGAGTAAATGATCTACTGAATGCACGTGAAATTAAATAAAAGACGATTTAAGCTGTCTTCAGTGGTTGTGCGTTGACTCACACCTGGAAAGCATTGTCATAGTCCCGCTGTACACTGCATTGGTCAGGCTGCACCTGGAGTCGTGTGCGTAGTTCTGGAGGCCTCACTTCAAAAGGGATGTGGACGAAATGGAGCGGGTGCAGAGGAGAGTGATGAGGATGATCGGGGGGCTTTTTCCTGGACTCTTGCTCTTTTCTGCTGCTGCAGACAGACTCACACGGCGACCCATCTGGAGCTCTCTCCATGGAAGGCAACACATTTAGCCAAACAGAATGGAGATCCATCGACCTTGTGATAAAAGGACAGGTGGACTCCCATTCCAGCTGTCTCTGAAGAAGCGAGCAGTGACCCACGGGAGCTCCTCCCCTGCCACCAATGTTGTTAGTCTTGAAGGTGCTCCTGGACTCTTGCTCTTGTCTGCCGCTAGAAGAAGAAGAAGAGATTGAATTTATACCCCGCCCTTCACTACCCAAAGGAGTCTCAGAGCGGCTTACAAACTCCTTTCCCTTCCCCTCCCCACAACAGACACTCTGTGAGGTAGGTGGGGCTGAGAGAACTCTTGACAGAAACTGCTCTTTTTCAAGAACAGCTCTGAGAGAACTATGGCTTGCCCAAGGTCATCCAGCCAGGTGCAAGTAGAGGAGTGGGGACTCAAACCCGGTTCTCCCAGATTAGAGTCCACGCACTTAACCACCACACCAAACACCGCTACAGGCAGACTAACACGGCTGCCCATCTTGAGCTCTCTCCATGGAAGGCAACACATTTAGCCAAACAGAATGGAGATCCATCGACCTTGTGATATAAGGACCCATGAGCTCTCATTCTAGCTGTATCTGAAGAAGCGAGGAGTGACTCACGAAAGCTCCTCCCCCGCCACAGATTTTGTTAGTCTTGAAGGTGCTCCTGGACTCTTGCTCTTGTCTGCTGCTACAGACACACTAAGCTGGCTGCCCACTGAGCCACAGCCCCCTTTCTTTGTGTTTTCTTTACAATTCTGTGTGAGAACTCCGGAAAGCTGGATCTCTGTGCTGGTAACCCAGAGCAGGAAGGAACCTTTCCTTTACTGTGAAAACCCAAGGGGGGGAAAAAACCCAGGAAAATGGGGGGGGGGGGGGGTTTGAGGACTTTATTCTAGGCTTTCAAAGTCTGAAGTTTTAGGTGGCCCTGGGGGGAAAAGGCTATGAGACATTTTGTCTTTTAGAATGAATAAATGCTTTTTTTTTTCAGATAAAGCACTGCTCGCTGATAACATGCAGCATGAAGTTTTTGATATAAGATAGCAGATAACCACGCAAGAATGATTTATGTCTGTCCTGTGGATATGTATCATGTACTTTCAAAAACGTGTGACTCCTTTTTGCCTGCAAAATGCTATCACTTGTATGGAGGATAACACCGTTGAAGAATTTTGTCTTTTCAGGACTACAGAGTTTGCATTTCATAGAGAATTGTGGCCGTAGGTTAGGGATAATGAATAACTGTAGCCGCTCAGAGACCCCTTCGGGGGTTAGAGCGGGGTAGCAAGCCGAAGACATAAATAAATAAATAGAGCAGCCATGTTGGCTTGCAGTAGAAGAGCTTCATTTGAGTCCAGTAGCACCTTAGAGAGGGCTGAGGTGGCTCAGTGGTTAAGACGCTGAGCTGCAGACCGAAAGGTCGGTAGTTCGGCAGTTCGAGACCCGAGTGCCGCGTGACGGAGTGAGCTCCCGTCTCCGGCCCCAGCTCCTGCCAACCTAGCCGTTCGAAAGCAAGAAACTGCAAGTAGATAAATGGGTACCGCTTCGGCGGGAAGGTAACAGCGTTCCGTGCGCCTCGGCGTCTAGTCACACCAGCCACATGACCGTGGAGACGTCTTCGGACAGCGCCGGTTGGAAACGGAGATGAGCACTGCATCCCTAGAGTCGGACTCGACCGGCTTTCGAGCAAGGGAGACCTTGACCCTTAACACCTTAGAGACTAACGAGATTTTTCTTTTGGCGGTATGAGTTGTCAAAGTGTCAGAGGTCCCTTTGTCAAATACCAGAGGCCATCCAAGTCCTTTAGGTGCCTCATAAAGTTTCATGCTTAGATTCAAACTCCAAAAACCCGTGATAAAGATAACGGAGACATTTACTGAAGTATTTCTGTAGCTCTGTAAGGAATAGCCTTCTGTCATCGCTCACACCCTAACGAATACCGCGCAGTGTGAACATTCGTTTCGCAATACAGACTTTATCTGAGCGTGTAGCAGTCCCAATTCTTATCAAATACCACTTATCAACTCTTGCTGGAAACATTCCATGTTGACTAATAACAGGACCCAAGGTCTTCAGAGGGAGGCTGTCTGGTTTGTGAGCGCGGTTGTTTTGCAGACTCACCAAGCGGTGTCTCACTGAGCCCTGTTTTTCTTCCCTCCCCAGAGTGAAGAGGAAATAAGGACGTTAAAGCAGCAAAAGAGTAAGTGACAAATTCTGTTGGACGATAAGCTGCCCCAATGGGTCTGTTGAGGGGTTCTCTCCTTTCCCGAAGCCACTTCATTTCTCAGGGATAGGCAGGGTTTAGTAGGCAGTTTGGTGTCGTGGTTAGGAGCGCAGACTCTAATCTGGGAGGACCGGGTTTGATTCCCCACTCCTCCACTTGCAGCTGCCGGAGTGACCTTGGGTCAGTCACAAGTTCTCTCAGAGCTGTTCTCTCACGAGCAGTCCTCGAAAGAGCTCTCTCAGCCTCACCTGCCTCACAGGGTGCCTGTTGTGGGGAGAGGAAGGAAAAGAAGATTGTAAACCGCTCTCCTTCCAGTATTGAAGGGCAGGGTATAAATCTAATCTCCTCCTCCACTTTAAAGGCATTGTGCAGGGCCCCCATTCACGCGACTCTGGAATTCTGTCCAAGGCCAGATTACTTTTGGATTTTTAGTTTTGTGCGCCGGGCAGGATCCAGCCAAGTTGATGGCACTTACATTGTGCTTGATTTCAGTGGGAAAGGTTAGCACATTGCCCGCTGAAACCTTTCCTGGAGCTTAGCAAGTGTTTTAGAAAGTGGGGCCATGTGGAGCTTTTGCCCAGCCAGGCTTCTGGTTGGTCATTGGCGGTTTAATTGGCTGCACGGGGTTTTTTTAGAAGACATTGCTTTGCCAGCACCTACCGCCACAACACGAGGATCTTCACTGTGTGACTGACGATAAGCTGTGGCAGCCATGGTGTGGCTGCACCTGCCATACCTTGTCAAAATTCCGAAGGTACCTGCGGGCTCAGAAAGGCTAAGGACCCCTGGCTTAGCATATGCTCAGATCTGGGACTTCGGCATCTTTGACTTTGGCTGAATCGCGCCCGCTTTGTTATACCGACCTCTTCCTTAGTTACATTTTTAAGTGTGTATCCTAGATGCACCTTTGTTAGCATCCTTGCAAATGTGTGTCATAAAAGTGTGCTCATCTGGGAGTCCTGACGCCTTGTACCTCTTTGCGATGCGTGCAGTGGCCAATTTATAGCTTGGGCAAGCTAGCAAAAAGAGCCAGATTGGTGTAGAGAGTAAAGAAGTGAGAGCCAGTTTGGTGTCGTGGTTAGGAGCGCGGACTCTAATTTGGGAGAACCAGGTTTGATTCCCCACTCCTGCACATGCAGCTGCTGGAGTGACCTTGGGTCAGTCACAAGTTCTCTCCAGTGTTCCCTCTAAGCTGAGTTAGTGTGAGCTAGCTCACAGTTTTTTAGCCTCTGGCTCACACATTTTCGTCTTCGCTCAGGAAGGGATGGCTCCAAAGCAAACTAGTTTATCCAGCAGCCAAATCTCTTGCTCACAACTTTAATGGCAGTAGCTCACAAAGTTAGAATTTTTGCTCACAAGACTCCACAGCTTAGAGGGAACATTGGTTCTCTCATAGCTGTTCTCTCAAGGGCGGCTCTCGAAAGAGCTCTCTCAGCCCCACCTGCCTCACAGGGTGTCTGTTGTGGGGAGGGGAAGGGAAAGGAGTTTGTAAGCCGCTCTGAGACTCCTTTGGGTAGTGAAGGGCGGGGTATAAATCCAATCTCTTCTTCTTCTTCTTTTACCTCACAGGGTGTCTGCTGTGGGGAGGGGAAGGGAAAGGAGTTTGTAAGCCGCTCTGAGACTCCTTCGGGTAGTGAAGGGCGGGGTATAAATCCAATCTCTTCCTCTCTCTTTCTAGTCTTAATATCTTTCCCATGTCTACAAGGTAATATGATACAGCTTTTCATTGGATCAAATGTACAGATAAGAATATTTTGTCTTAAAGTGACATATTGAGCAGTTTTGCGGCTCTGGGCAGATGAAGATGTTTATTTTGGCATTTGATGTGCTTTATCATAAGCACGTGGAATGTGGAACTGAAGCACACTGAACAGCGTTGCTCCCATTCAATAGCAAACAGTTTTATTGTATACGTGGCTTGTGGCTGTCGTAAAGATTGATTGAATCGCAAGCAGCCCATGTGTGTGTAGGCTTGCACATTATCAGTATATCTAATGTTCAACATGGCCCCACCTGTGGATATTTAAATCTGGAGACTGGGGACATGAACAGACAAGACAGATCTTTTACAAACCTGAAAAATGTCCCAGGTTTGCAGAAAAATCTGAAATTTGGGGGGGGGGGGAACCCCCCAAAAATGAAAACTTGGGGGTTAAACCCCTTAAAAAACCCCCAGAATAATACAAGCAGCACCTGTAGCTTTAAGAAATGAATGGCTTCACAGTGGCGGTTGTTTTGTCTGTGAGACAAAGGTATTGCCAGCCTTCCAGCTTTGGTTTCTGTCAGTAAAAGGCATGGGGAGAGGCCAGGGCTCTTTGCAGCCCCGTTTGGCCTTTGATGGAGGACTTTCAGGACCAAGCCTGGCAGCAGCCACTGAACAATTTGATACCACCTGGCTTGCATGACTCACCCAAGCCTGGCTGCTTGCCACTGTTCAACAGCAACCACCCCACAAGAGCCAGTGTGGTATAGTAGAGAATAGGAAATAAGTGAAAGAAAAAAATATAGCTGAAGACGAGAGGGTAGGTAGAAGGTTGGTTGGGGGTGGGAAGAAGAAAAGGAAGCAGGGAGCAAGACAGGTCTTTTACAAACCTGAAAAATGTTCCAGGTTTGCAGAAAAATCTGAAATTTGGGAGGGGGGAACCCCCAACAATGAAAACTTGGGTGTTAAAAAACCCCCAGAATAATACAAGCAGCACCTGTAGCTTTAAGAAATGAATGGCTTCACAGTGGCGGTTGTTTTGTCTGTGAGACAAAGGTATTGCCAGCCTTCCAGCTTTGGTTTCTGTCAGTAAAAGGCATGGGGAGAGGCCAGGGCTCTTTGCAGCCCCGTTTGGCCTTTGATGGAGGACTTTCAGGACCAAGCCTGGCAGCAGCCACTGAACAATTTGATACCACCTGGCTTGCATGACTCACCCAAGCCTGGCTGCTTGCCACTGTTCAACAGCAACCACCCCACAAGAGCCAGTGTGGTATAGTGGTTAGAGAATAGGGAATACATGAAAGAAAAAAATATAGTTGAAGACGAGAGGGTATGTAGAAGGTTGGTAGGGGGTGGGAAGAAGAAAAGGAAGCAGGGAAAGGTGAAGGTGGGGTTGCCAGGAGGCGGAAAAGAGGAAACAGTGTGAGTGGAGGATACGGGGGAAATAAGAACATAAGAGACGCCAGTGTTGGATCAGGCCAATGGCCCATCCAGTCCAACACTCTGTGTCACACAGTGGCCAAAAATACCAGTGGCACTCAGGAGGTCCAGCAGTGGGGCCAGGACACTAGAAGCCCTCCCACTGTTGCCCCCGCACAAGCACCAAGAAGACAGAGCATCCCTTGCCCCAGACATAAGAACATAAGAGACACCAATGTTGGATCAGGCCAAAGGCCCATCCAGTCCAACACTCTGTGTCACACAGTGGCCAGAAATACCCATGCCATCAGGAGGTCCACCAGTGGGGTAGTCCCTGGAAGTCTTTGTGGGTTCCTGACTGCACGACTGGGCATGGCATAGCAGCCAGAGACAACAGAATTTGCCCAGTGGGATACTGGCAGGGGGAGGGAAGACTGAAGACAGGGATGCATATAAAGGTAGGTTGTCTTGATGGGAAGGAGTGAAGGAAGCAGGAAAAGGGGAGAGACTATATAGGGGCTATCAGTGAAAGTCCCAGAACACAGGTTCTATTGCTAGGGACCGTCATTCTACTCTGAGGGCTGTCATTGCAGTCCCAGAGCACTGTTCCTACTGCTGAAAACAATCCCAGAGTAGTCTATCTGGGTGCAGAGACCTTAATGGAAAAATCCATTCTGTATTTTCTTTATAACTGCAAGCCCAGAAGAGTTCCTGCTAAAGCAGGCAAAGACAAGATGGAGGGAGCTGGGAACTTTGGTAGCTTCAAGCTTCAAAGGGTGGGGGAAGGAGGGGGGAAGAAAAGAGCCATGGGTGAGCCACTTCTGGCCCACGGGCCTTAAGTTTGACACCCTTGCTCTAGATTCTAAAAGTATGCATGTAATTCTTCATACCATTTCACTCATGAATCCTGTCAGTTGTCAGTAAGTTTTTCTTTGAGGCTTAAAGATTGTGGGGAAAGTATTGGCCGGATTTTTTATTTTATTGCAGTTTCAGTTATCTCTTCTCTCTTCCCCTCTAGTCGATGAAGTTTACGAGCAAGAAAAGAGCAACCCGGAGTCTGTTGAGAATGAGCAGAACCCAGCTTCCGAGGAAGGAGGAGACGAGCCAGTGAAAGATGACACCCTTTTAACTCAAGAAGAGAGGGAGAACAAAGATTATCTAAAATCTTTATTTGAAATCCTGATCCTGATGGGGAGACAGAACATTCCTCTGGACGGCCACGGCACAGACGAACTCCCGGAAGGAATTTTTACCCCGGACAACTTCCAGGCTCTCTTGGACTTCAGAATAAATTCTGGCGACGAGGTTCTGAGGAAGCGGTTTGAGACTACGGCGGTGAACCTGGCCTACTGCTCGCAAGCCCAGCAGAAGCAGATGCTGGATATCTGCGAGAGCTGCATCCGAGAGGAGACGCTCAGGGAGATCCGAGATTCCCAGTTCTTCTCCATCATCACGGAGGAAGTGGTGGATCTAGCCGGAGAGGACCACTTGCCCGTGCTGGTGAGATTCGTCGACGATTCTCACAACCTGCGGGAAGAGTTCATTGGGTTCTTGCCGTACGAGGCGGATCCCGACGTCCTGGCCGTCAATTTCCACACCACCATCATTGAAAAATGGGGCTTGAACATGGAGTATTGCCGAGGCCAGGCCTATATCGTCTCTAGCGGGTTCGCTTCAAAGATGAAGACCGTAGCCATGAGGATCTTGGAAAAATACCCCCAGGCTGTATATACGCTTTCCTCTTCCTGTGCCTTGAACATATGGCTTGCCAAGTCTGTTCCGGTCTTGGGCATTTCCATCGCGCTAGGGACGATAGAAGAAGTTTGTTCCTTCTTTCACCAGTCGCAGGTGCTAGCTGATTTGGACAATGTCATTTCCCTCCTGTTCCAGAATAGCGAGGAAAGGGGGAAGGATCTGAAGGACATTGTCCGTTCCCATTGGACAGGCCGGCACGATACCTTTGAGATTATAGTCGACCTCATGCAGTCCCTGGTGTTATGCTTGGACAGCATCAACGAGTCCTCCAGCCGGTGGAACACCTTGGTCGCCGGCCGAGCATACATCCTCTCTAGCGCGCTGGCCGACTTTGACTTTGTGGTCACAGTTGTGATCGTGAAGAACATCCTCTCGTTCACAAGGGCCTTCGGCAAGAACCTCCAGGGCCAGACGTCGGACGTCTTCTTCGCCGCCAGCAGCCTAACCGCCGTGCTGCACTCCCTGAACGAGGTGATGGAGAATATCGAGGTTTACCACGAATTCTGGTTCGAGGAAGCGATGAACCTGGCCACCAAGCTGGACTTGCCCATTAAGCTCCCCGGGAAGTTCTGCAGAGTGCAGCAAGGGAGCATGGACTCCGAGGTCACGCCGGAGAACTATTACAAAGAGGCCCTGAGCATTCCGACCGTGGAACACATAATCCAGGAGCTGAAGGACATCTTTTCAGAGCAGCACTTGCGGGCCCTGAAATGCCTGTCCCTAGTGCCCTCGGTCATGGGGCAGCTCAAATTCAACACCTCCGAGGAGCATCACGCCGACATGTACAAGAACGACCTCCCGAATCCGGATACGCTGCTGGCGGAGCTCCACTGCTGGCGAATCAAGTGGAAGCACCGAGGGAAGGATATCGAGCTGCCGACGACGATCTATGAAGCCCTTCACCTGCCCGACATCAAGTACTTCCCCAACGTGTACGCCCTGCTCAAGGTCCTGTGCATCCTCCCGGTGATGAAGGTGGAGAACGAGAAGTTCGAAGTCGGCCGGCGGCGCTTGAAGGCCTACCTGCGGAACACTTTAACGGAGCAGAGGTCAAGCAACCTGGCCTTGCTGAACATAAACTTTGATATCAAGCACGACCTGGATTTGATGGTAGACACTTACATCAAACTCTATCCCGACAAAGCGGAGTTCCAGGAGGAATTTCTCTCCTCCAACAGTTCAGATGTCAAAGATGAGACTTAACAGACCGGGGGGAGAAGGGGACCTCTAAAAAAAACCACACACAACCCTTTCCTTGTTTCAGATGCTTCGTTTCACCCTTGAAATAAAACCCCAGGGCTTAAAAACTGAGAAAGGAACGATTAATTATCGAAAGTGGGCTCCCACTTCAGGCAGGGGTCGCCTTCGAACGAATCGTGAACAAAGCTGACCCTGCCGGGATTCCGTTGCTCGTTGTTGTAAAGTATATATATATATGTATTAAAAAGTTGGGAGTCAACTTTTACCCTGCCCCCATCTATTACAGCTTTTATTCTGTCACTTTAGGGAAACCCGTTCAGAATCATTACAGACCTCTTCCGGCTGTACAAACTGTGTACAGATAGCAGGCGGGAATTCAGTTTAAAAAACAAAAACAAAAAAAACAGAATATGTTTGTTACTATTTGGGGTTTCTTCATTACCCCCCGCCTCCTCCCCTTCCCCGGAAAAATACAGTCGATTGGAATTGAAATAAACCATCAGAAGGATTAAGGCTCGTCTAAATCCGTATAAGGGATAGTGCCGGCATCCGCCACACCTTTAGCTTCCACTGAAGTTCCTGGGGGTTGTGTATGGAGGATTCGCAGGGCTCTTTTTGTAGCAGGAACTCCCTTGCATATTAGGCGACACACCCCTAATGTAGCCAATCCCCCAAGAGCTTACAGTAGCCCCTGTAAGAAGAGCTCTGTAAGCTCTCGGAGAATTGGCTACATTAGGGGTGTATCGCCTAATATGCAAAGGAGTCCCTGCTACAAAAAGAGCCCTGCCACACCCCTAATGTAGCCAATCCTCCAAGAGCTTACAATAGCCCCTGTAAGAAGAGCTCTGTAAGCTCTTGGAGGATTGGCTACATTAGGGGGTGTGTCGCCTAATATTCAAAGGAGCTCCTGCTACAAAAAGAGCCCTGGGCGACACACCCCTAATGTAGCCAATCCCCCAAGAGCTTACAGTAGCCCCTGTAAGAAGAGCTCTGTAAGCTCTCGGAGGATTGGCTACATTAGGGGGGGTGTCGCCTAATATTCAAAGGAGCTCCTGCTACAAAAAGAGCCCTGCCCCCCCAGTGCCCCCATCCCAGTGATGCTAGCTCAGCTCTCCGAAAAGAATGTTTTGGGGAGTCTGGAAGCATGTTCTTCGGGTATATATCGGCTTGGTTTGAGCCAGTCAGCCCTTGTGCACATTCCATTGCGCTGTGTATGCCCTTCGGTCCCTTTTCACGCTTTTGTAAATGGGGAAAGACCCCCTCCTCCCCCAGAAACTAAGCTATCACGTGAGAAAAAAAATTAGATATGCTATGTGTATCCAGTTCTCGCTCTGTTCAGCCGGGCTCGATGCAGAATTGTACGAATTGTAAACCTGAAGCTGGCAGCAAAGAAAAAAAGCGGGTTGCGGTGGTTGGTTGGTTGGTTTCGTTTTGCATAGAAGTCCGATGGGATGTTTCTGCTGATTTGTTTTGGGGGGGGAGGGAAGGAAAAGAACCCCCCCCCCCAAATTTGGATAGTTTTGTTTCGATCCAGAATAAAATGTGATTTTTCTATTTTAGCAGTATGAATTCGCCCTGCTAGCAGAGCCATCTCTTCATTTCTGCGCTGTGTGTCGAACCCACCGCAGGGACCCCAGGAATTCGGTCCTGCCTCTCTGGTGGTGGTCTGCCAACTTTCTGCTGCAGAAGGACCCGTCGTGCCAACTCCTCTGCTCAGACCGTCCCCCGAATGTCTCGATACGAGGCCCCAGAACATTACAAAGGATTTGGGGGGGGTTGGGTCAGTGTTCGGCAGTCTTCGATCCATAGGTCTCAACTCATAAGAACATCAGAGAAGCCAATGTTGGATCAGGCCAATGACCCATCCAGTCCGGCACTCTGTGTCACACAGTGGCCAAAAATACCAGGTGCCATCAGGAGGCCCAGCAGTGGGGCCAGGACATTAGAAAGCCCTCCCACTGTTGACCCCTCCCCAAGCACCAAGAAGACAGAGCAACCCTTGCCCCAGACATAAGAACAGAAGAGAACCCCATGTTGGATCAGGCCAATGGCCCATCCAGTTCAACACTCTGTGTCACACAGTGGCCAAAAACACCAGGTGCCATCAGGAGGTCCAGCAGTGGGGACAGGACACTAGAAGCCCTCCCACTGTGCCCCCCCCAAGCACCAAGAAGACAGAACATCCCTTGCCCCAGACCAAGAGTTCCTATCTATACCTTGTGGCTAATAGCCACTGATGGACCTCTAAGAACATAAGAGAAGCCCATGTTGGATCAGGCCACCACCTCCTGCCCTATCGCATTTCTCCCCTGCTCTAATCAACTTGATTACTGTTTGCATCGTACCTTTGCAGACAGGGTTACCAGGTGTCCCCCCGGGCACCAGAGGGGGATGGGGGCAGGTAGAGTTGCCAAAGTCAGGTTGCGAAACTCGAACTGATGGAGATTTGAGGACGGAACTTTGGGAGGACTCTGACCTCAGTGGGGCACCACGCCTTAGAGTCCCCCCTCCAAAGCATCCCATTTCCTCCAGGGGAACTGATCTCTGTAGTCTGGAGGTGAGCTGTAAATCCAGGGGGTCCCCAGGCCCCACCTGTAAGCTGGCGTCCCTATTCGCATGCCTCCTTTGAAACAGTTTGGTGTAGTGGTTAAGTGCGCGGATTCTAATCTGGGAGAGCCGGGTTTGATTCCCCACTCCTCCACTTGCACCTGGCTGGATGACCTTGGGCAAGTCGTAGTTCTGATAAGAGCTGTCCTTGAAAAAGAGCCGTTTCTGTCAAGAGCTCTCTCAGCCCTACCTACCTCCCAGGGTGTCTCCTGTGGGGAGGGGAAGGGAAAGGAGATGGTAAGCCACTCTGAGACACCTTTGGGTAGTGAAGGGCAGGGTATAAATCCAATCTCTTCTTTTACCTCACGGTGTCTGTTGTGGGGAGGGGGAGGGGAAAGGAGTTTGTAAGCCACTCAGACTCCTTTGGGTAGTGAAGGGCAGGGTATAAATCCAATCTCTTCTTCTTCCCTCTCAACCTCAGTGGGATATGAGGTCTTAGGGATCTTCATTCCCCCTTGTATCTGATGAAGGGAACACCGATCCTCGGAAGATCATACCCTGGACGTCCTTTTGGTCTCTCAAGGTGCTGCTGGGCTCGAATCTACCCGTTCCACTGCGGACTGACACAACTCCCCTCCGAAACAAGATCTTTAGTGAAGCTTGAGTCCGGTGGCACCTTGAAGACCAGCAAACTTTCGTGCGTACGCACGCACGTATCTGAAGAAGTGTGCATGCAGACAAAAGCTGATAACCCAGAATGAAACTTTGCTCGTCTTAAAGGTGCCACCGGACTGAGAGAGCTCTGGTAGAAACTGCTCTTTCAGCTCTGACAGAACTGTGGCTTGCCCAAAGTCATCCAGCAGGTGCAAGTGGAGGTGTTGGGAATCAAACCCGGTTCTCCCAGATTAGAGTCCGCGCACTTAACCACTTCACCAAATTGGCCTCTGTTCCCCTGAAACAAATGGTTTCACATTAACCAGAACAATTTCTCCCAGTGCTTTTAGAGCGTGGGAAAGGATTGTTGTGGACGCGGCCACAGTTATTGCAACCCGCCTTCGTCACACCAATGAGTGTGAAAACCAGATTCAAGTCCAGTAGCAGTTTAGGAGACCGACAAGATTTCCAGGTTATAAACTTTTGGGAGTCACAGAATCATAAAATTGCAGAGTTGGAAGGGGCCTATACAGGCCATTCTAGTCCAACCGTCTGCTCACTGCAGGACCAGCCTAGAGCTTCCCTGACAAATGTCTGTCCAACCGCTGCTTAAGGACTGCCAGGGAGGGGGAGCTCACCACCTCCCAAGGCCGCTGGTTCCAATGTGGCACAACTCTGGGTGCGGTCAGACGGGCCGTTTAGTCCACTTTCGGCCTGCCTCAAAACCTGATTTTATCTGCGCGATCACACGGTCAACATCTCCCTCGTGTCCCCAGCCGTCGCCTTCTAGTTCAAAACCGCTTTAACCCGGAGTATTTTGTTACCAGGTCCCCAAGTGGTGTTTTTCTGATTCTCCGGTTCCAGCCGCATTTTTCCCCTGTGTGATCACTCCTCCGGTGTCGAGCCACTTCCGGTTTAAACCCCCTCCCCGCTCAAGAGCTGACCGAGGCTTCCACTTTTCGCCCACCATTTTTTAAAAAAGCGTTGGCGGTGTGCGCATAGGCGGAGGTCCACCACCGCTTTATTAAAAGCAATGTTTAATCGGTGCCTAGTTTTAGCCTTTAGACGGAGGCCATTTTAGGGGTAAACATTTAAAGGGAAGTGTTCCTTTAAAGTTTAAAGGGAAGCGTTACAGCAGTCGGGTTGAAGAGGAAATTGCTGTTCTGCGCAGGCGCAAAACTTTTAGTTCCACAGATGGCTGCCTGTGCACATGCCCAAAATGAGAGAGAGAGAAAAACAACAGTGCAGCCATCCGGAGCAAGGAGGTGAGTGTGATCGCGATTCTCCAGGTTAAAAAAAAACAACGCATGGGGCTGGAGCCGTTTAACCCGCTCCCAGCACGCCATCTGACCGCACCTTCTGACTGTCAAAAAGTTTTCCCTTAGATCCAGCCCGTACCTTCGCGCTCTTGATTTAAACTCATTCTTGTGAGGCCTCTCCTCTGCCGCCAAAGCTACCTTTGCAAGATACAGACCTGACACTCTCTGTGAAAACTGACTCTGCTGTTTTAGGCAATGGTTTTATTCCAAAAGGGACCAAGCTTCCGTGTCTCTCTCCTCTCTCTTCTTCACCCCCATAGAAGAAGTTACTACCCTACGAGCTTAAGGAGGTTCTCTCGCTGAGATGATTTGCAAAGGGAGGCCAGACACTTTCATGGAGGTTCGCTCTGAATCAAAAAAACACTATTGGCCAGGGGTCGTTTCCTGCGGGAGCGCACAGGAGCGGAGCTCCGGCAGTAAGGAGCCCAGGGGGCGGGCACATGCAATAAGCCCCGCCCCCTGCTCCCAGCAGCCTTCATTCGGGCCAGTAGGAGCAAGAAGCAGCCAGGTAAGTTGCAGAGCACCCGCCCCCACCTGCCTTCAAGTACAAGCTCTCCTCTGTGAGGGCAGATCTGCGCATCCCCCCCCCCCATAGCTTGCAATCCAGAACAGTCCAGTGGAGCCTTTAAGACAAAGTTTTATTCAGGTTCAAGCTCTCCCTCCTCTGCGAGGACAGATCTGCACGTCCCACCCCCCAATAGCTAGCAATCCAAAACAGTAGTGGCACCTTTGAGACCAAGTTTTATTCAGGTACAAGCTCTCCCTCTGTGAGGACAGATCTGCACGTCCCCCCCCCCAATAGCTAGGAATCCAAAAGAGTCCAGTGGAGCCTGAGGGGTGGGTGTTGCCTTCTGACACACTTCCGGTGAGGTCAGGGGGTGGGGCATATGTAGGAGCCCGGGAAGGAGGGGGCCCAGGAGAAAGACCAGGGGGCCAGGCCCCACGGGCCCCACGTTAGCTACGGGCCAGCCAAGACTCCACAGCTTAGAGGGAGCATTGGCCAGAAGTCATCTTGGCCATGTGGCCGGGCCCACTGGCTACAGGGAGCCTGAGGTAATGAGACACCTTTGGAACAGTTTGCACC